TAATATTAGATTTTTTCTAAGAAAAATGAGAAAATATTGAAAAATCTAAATTTTAATTTTAAATTTTAAAAAAGTCAAGACCCACGAGGTAGATCATGCCCAGCCCAGCCCAATAGACCCTAGATGATCCAACATGAACTCAGTCGACCCAACACATTTTGCTCTAATATCAGTAGAAAATCCTAGCATAGAATCTAGTTCTCCTAAACCTAATACAACTTTTCCAGTAACCAATGAAAGCAAGCTACCGTGGCAATTAGAGAGAGCAAATACCGCATCAGACATATCATAGTGAAGCTTAGTGACAGAGTCCCCATGCCCAAGCTCTAGAGGAACTCCATAAGCAATATCTGTCTTAGGCCCCATATCTGGCTTTAGGGATTCTTCTTTGGGCAATCCGATAGTAAGATTCAGAGAACCATACTCAGGGTGTGTATACTCTTTAAATGGCGAATGATAAACAAACTCATCAAGTTTTTCTTCAAATTTTTCAGACGGGCCAGTCTTGCAATTTCAGTAGTGTTTGCCATGATTCTCTATCAAAGAGACCATCCATATACCCTTTGAAGAATTTGTGAGTATTGATTTCAACCTGCAATACATTAGAGATAGATCATTTTGAGTCCAAACACATGGGAACTTAAATTGAAACAATCCAAAAGCAACAAAACAAGTGCATGGGCATTGCATGATGTATCTTTTAATTTAGTTCCTAATCACAAAATGTTTTGAAAAATTAGTTGATTAGGGTGAATAAAAAGGACTTATTATGCATTCAGAAGAGAAAATATTAACATATAAACATCATTGTTTCACTGAAAACGAAAATTTTCTGTTCATGAGTCCTGGGGTTGGTACTTCTATAGCATTTTATGTGACCAAAAAATGAAGCAACTTTCTTTCTATCACCACAAAAGAATTTGACAAAGGTTTGTCCTTAGCAGCAAGGAGCTCAAGGAGGAAACTAGTTCCAACCTATTGAGAGTCCTGCATTTTTTTTCTGCATGTTACTGAGAAACAGCGGCACTAGAAGGTTGAAAGAATAAAAGAAAGCAAAAGGCTAACAGCAGTAATCAGAAACTGAACCAAGCACCTTGTAGAACATGTCATTAGATGATCTTCTTGAAAATTAAGAAAGGAGTAGAGAGAAAAATTTGAAAAGAACATGAATTCTTCATTTTGTGTACTTTAGCTAACCAACAAATAAAAGTGGAATACATCATAAAATCAGTCCACATGTAGGATCTATGATTAGCTTCCGGCCTCCTCCAAAATCATGCAACCTCTACTTTTCTCAATCAAAAACTGCTACATTATCAAATTAAAGCAATAGAAGAATGTTCAAAGTAAACAACCAAACCCTTCCCATGCTGGGAATAAAGATCTCCATCATTATGTTACCGAGAAGCCTTCCATACCTACAGTTTCAAAATATAGTGCAACATTAAACCATGACAAATTAGGATTCAAATTGAGAACATGATTCATTCTAAACCATGATATTAAATGACACCCAAATATACAAAAGACATAAATAATATTTAAGACACCGTTTATTTTAAAATCTCTCATCAATTGTAACTTCCACAGAATCACTCAAATTCACACCATGCTCTCCAGTGAAGGATATGAGTCTAAATGCAACAAGACAAGTCCACTATTGTACTAAAATATCCCTGCAGATCAAGAGGAAATGCCTCCAAAAAGGGTTTTTGACCAAGATACAGCTAGAAAACAATAACCAGAAATGAAAGTTAACAAATAAAGTTGGGCACAATAAATTCTCGGCAATTAAAATCAGCATCCGATGTTTGTGATACTAACCAGAACGGTTTATAGGTGAACTGACCTGACAACAGTCTAAGCAATCAATGACCTTATCATCCAGATGTCAACAGCACTTGCCACATGAAATCTGACAAAAAACACGCTACATAACCATTGGTTCCCAGCTCAAACCAGAAGCATCATTGAGCACATCCCTAACAATAACAGGCTCACCTTTAGCCCAGTGTTTTTGGAAGTGCTCCAGATCACCATTCTGAATTTATATCATTAATTTTAGGAGTTAAATCACTGAATTTCTCCTTTTCTGACAGCATAGATCTTGGAGGTTTATCATGCGAGTAATCAAAACTGCTGTCAACATAGTGCACAATTAGTTCTTTTTCTCCTCTCTTCAAGGATCCGTCAGAGGGTTCCCAGCAACAAGTAACGCAAAGACTATATTTACATTTAGGACAGCTTCTATGAAAGTCTACAATCTAAGTTTTGCAGTTGTCACTGCAGAGAGTGCAATGGCGTTAGGAACTTGACAAGTATATAAAGTTTCACTGAGAAAAAAAGGATCCTTGTTAAAATAGGAAAAAAAACAATCATAAGTATACATTTAAATTGCAAGCACATACCAATAAACATGCTCTTTAAGAGAGCAAAATGCCTGCTGAGGATGGATGTGTGATGGTGATGACCATGCTCATCCAAAGACCAAGTAAGAAATCAAAAGAAAACCTTAGTTAAAAATGTCTTTGATGCTCTCATATTGCATATCAAAGATTTTTTTATGATTGCTATCACCTGTTCACTAGCTTATATACTTTTTCAATGAAGCCTAAAAAAACCAAGCTTTGAAGAAATGATGCATTACAACAGTGTGAAAGATTTTCTATAAAACCAACTGTGGGTATTGCCATAGTGCCACTAGGAAGGTAAAATGCAAATTCTCACAACAATTTCTAGAAGTTGCATTACATCCCTCTGCTTCACTAAAGAGATAAAAGTAGATTAAATTAGGTTAGGAGGTTATGACAATATACATCAATGGCAAATCCTCAACAAAATGAAAAAAAAAAAAAACAAAACAACCCAGATTTAACTCATGTGTAGGATGAAGCAAAGCTCCAGGCTTTTCTGCTTTGGGCACCCCAGATGACAAATGACCAACATATCATCTGCCATCTTCAGTTTTTAGTTTATTTGCTTTAGGAATTAGGATGAAGATGATTCTAATAACAGCTATATTTAATATCTATTTTCAAAGAATAATTCAAATCTAAAGAAATCTTTTAAATATTTTTCATTACCTAAGGATTTTACAAGATATCAAGATATTCATTAATTATACAAAACACGTTGATGCACAACAAATGGATTAAACTTTCCTAACACCAAAGAAGTAGAAAGTACCATGAATTTTGGCCTCTATCACCTTCTCTGTCATTTGTTCTTCACTAAATTGTTTGATGTATGGGAGAAGTGCCTGAAGTAAGTACTTAGAATGCCTAACTTTCTCATTGAACACAAGCTCTAGGTTTTTCATCTGCAGTCCACCATGAATAAGAACACTTTATATGAAGTATATCATCGTTTATACAAATAATGGAAAAGCAGTAGAGAATTGAAAGCATACTGACTTCAAGAGGGCCATCCTTGTGCAAGCATGCCTTTACAATCGCAGCGACCCTGAAAAAATGGGCAAGCTTCAGCAATGTCATCCTCTGACATCTTGAGATACCTTTACAGGAAAATAACTAAGAGGGGAAAGAAAGAGGAGGTTAGCATCAGACACAGTAACAAAAACTACCTACCTTTTTACTATTGCGATAGCCATTAAGACAAGAAACATAGAAACCAAAAGATGAAAAAAACCATTTAGCAATTGCATAAGATGTCATACTACTACATCAAGGTATGATTGTTGTTCCATAGAGACCCTCATCCTAGCATATTAAAGAATAAGTTCCACATCACCTAATATTTTTCTGAAAGACTAGCTTTTGGGATTTAAGAATTCTCCTATAAACAATTCAACAAAAACCAGTCTTTGTGTGGCAAAATTCAGAACCTCTCCAACAATCATCAAACCACATCATATATTTCATGGTTGAGCAGGAACATCTACATGTTAACCAAAATATTGATTCAACCAGTAGGAGTCAAATCTAAGAAACAACTGCATTATAAGAAAAACATTAAAACAGTGACAAAGAAAATGTTTCACAAAAAAATACCAGATGGTTATACAGGAAATGCAGTATTGTTTCCCCCAGCATCTTTTGCATCTCACAACCCTTCCTTTGTCATTCCTCCAACATTGATGACATATTGATGATCCTTTTTTAACCCATGATGGGACCCACTGGTAACATAAAAGATAATTATGGTTACATTACAATTTGCATAAAGATCAAAAGAGGAAGAATATTACAAAAACCGTAATGACCATTTTTTTTTTTTTTTGAATAAAACAACAAGCAAACTCACAAGAAAATTTTTCTTACACTAGGACCACTCCTGTTTAATCTATCTTTTGAAGCAGCTTCTTCCCCCATGGAAGTAGAAACCTTCTCTTCCTCCTTAACTGAACTCTTCTCCTTACCCTTCCTTGCTCTATTCCGAGTCTCTTTATTTGCATTATCCTTGTCCATATCATCACTTTCCCCTCCTTCCTCAATTTCTGGAAGTGCACCATTTACATCTTCATCTTCCCTGTCTTGGCTTTCTAGGACCTTACTCTTCTGTCTACCCCTTCTACCAGGCTTCTTTACTGAAACCCTTTTATCTGTAGCACTAATAGCATCACTGTTAGCCTCCTCCTCCATCCCAGGCAACTCATCATGTTTTTTTTCCTATCGTCAGTATCTTCTTCACCTTCTCCATTTGGAGTTCTTCCCTCCTCTCTACGCTTTCGTCCAGACCTCTTCCACGAAAACCCGTCATCCCCTTGGTCTTCGTCATGATTAACCTTCTTAGGTCTCAGCCTCTTCTTCAAATCCCTAATTTCCTCGGATTCGCCCTCCGAATCCTCTACGACTAGTTCACACCCATCGTCCTTATCACCAGAACCATCGTCTTTCCCATTCCCCTTCTCCCAAACCGCTTCATCCTCCTCCGCTTTCTCGACACATTCCCGTAACCTAGATTCCCCGCGATCTCTTCCGCCTCTGGCACTTTGTTACAGGATTGACAACAGGGCAGCTAACGTGGCAGGAAGATAGGCAGTTAAGATTGATGATGTATGTGGATAATGATGTACGATCTACGTAAATGGAACCAGCTATAAAGCTCCAATTCTTGTAACAAAATCATTCTTCAGTCAACTGAATACAAGTTTTCCTCTCCACAGCTTTCTCTTTTCTCTTCTCATCCCCATCCAATACCCTATTTCTCATCTCACCTCTCTTCTCAATTCTTTTCTCATCTTCATCTGTTTAATTCTGTGTTGATTGTGAATTCGGTGTTATCATTGTCCTTCCAGGCGGCATGGTTTCAAGTGTGTCTGCGAGTAGAGTAGAGATTAGAATTTAGAAAGACTGCAGTCTGTAGGCAAAAGACTGAATGAGTCTCTGCAGAAAAAAGGTGCCGTTGGTAAGGTACGGGAAATTGAGGGAGATTTCGGATTTACAAAAGCTGGCGCCAAAGAGAACCAAAGTTTGGGTTGTTGAGATAAAAAGTCGGTTAAACCCTATATTTGCACATTAAAATTTTTTTTTATGGTTAATATTTTAAACTCTTTTTTTTTTTTGTCAACATTCTATAATTTAAAATCCAAAAAAAACTTAAAAAATAATAATCAAACCCTCTATTTATACCTTGATTTTGTTGATAATTTAAAAGTTTTTTACAAGTTTTAGATTAAAAAGGATATTAACTAAAAAAATTAATTTAAAATGTTAATTATAAAAAAAACTTAAAAAATAATAATCAAACCCTCTATTTATACCTTGATTTTGTTAATAATTTAAAAGTTTTTTACAAATTTCAAATTATGAAGGATATTAACTAAAAAAATTAATTTAAAATATTAAGCATGAAAAGAAAAAATAACTAAGGGATAAATAGGTGTTTTGACCTAAAAAATCTATTATTATTTTTTCTTTAGTAAATCTCTTCGTATTCAAAAACTAACTTAAATTTAAATTTTAACTAATTTAAAATTAAATCAAGTTTATACTCATACCACTTACCAAAAAATCCTCTTTCCCTCAATGCTTGTTTTTTAAAATTTTATTGGTATGTCATTATTGATCATGCAACCTTAATAAAATTAACATTTTAATCACTCATCTTACAGTGTTATCTCCTATGATGAGCGTATATTTCGTTTTAAATTTTATATATAACATCTCTTAAAATTAAAAAGTGAAACAACTAAATAAACATAATTTAATAGGTGGAATAGCTAAATAAAAATAGAGGGAGTAAGCTTAAAACCAATTCCCCTCTCACAAACCTTGATTTTTTTTTTAACAATAATGAAATAGTACAAAAACAAAATATACCATAACTCCTAAACCAATTTCTTACAAATTTTAATTTCAGAAAACCAAGAGAAAATAAATAAATTTTTTAATTAATCAAATTGTAACATTCACTAACGGTTGCGGTTTGAAATCCAAAATTCAATCCCATTAAAAAGGAGAGAAGAAATCCTAAAGTCAAATATTTAAACGAATAGAGAAAAATTTTTAAATGTGAAGAGTAATCATATGGGGTATAAAGCCCACTCAGAAGACTTTAAAACATCAAACTCCACTTATAGCCACTTCCCCTGAATGAAACGCTCCTGCATTTTGATTTTCGTGTGAAAGTAAAATGACATATTTTTCACATCAAGTTTGGAGAAGAAATGGCAAATGAGATCTTTACAGCAAGCTTCCCTCTCCCCTCTTAATTTTGAATCAATTAAAAAGATATATGCCACGCTGAGACCAAAAACTAATTAAATAAATCCCTTTGCCTACTCTTACTTGAGAATTACCAGTACAGATACAGATACCAACTCAGCACTTTGGCAATTCAATATTACATCAAAACTATTGTCCCAAATCACTTGCCAATAGATTAGTAGTTGCAGCCACACAAAATTGTGCTGAGAAGATCCATCTTTTACATATGTAAATTAAATACCCTGAACAAAAGACCCAACAATGCCTACACCAGAGTGGAAGATTAAGCTCAACCATTTTTCTCCTTGCCCCGAAGTTTAAGCTCAACCCTGAAACAAGAAATACAAACACTGAGTTATTCAGTAGGCAAGCAGTGCTCACATGCACAGTTAAAAGCAAAATCTTAAACTGTTTTCTCAGAACAAGCAAATGGTGGTTACAAAACATGTATACAGAAACTTTGTAGTTATCCTCCTCTCATAAACTCAACTTGTAGTTAACTGGCAAGCTAGCTCCATAGGATGTGCTCAATTAGATTATCAACTTTCAAACTAAGCTAATAGCAGGCTCAAGTTCTGGCCTCTGCTCATTTGGAACCTACCTTTGCAGTCATAATTGTGGACTAAAGAACAAATATTCACACATTTATTTTCATTTCTAAAACCATTTCACGTTTTTGGAAGTACCATAAGCAGAACATTACAATTATGCAAATGCCAATAACAGATAACACACAACTACAAAAGTCCCGAATACACCCTCTGATTGAAATTATGAAACAGAATGCAACATAACGAAAAATAAATCAGCATCAAATGACATTAGGGTCAAATAATTATTGTAGTTTTTTACTGATTAAAAATTACGTGCAGATTAAATAGACCACTGGATAAATTAAAACTAATTGCAGGTATTTAAAGCAACTCACTTAGTGTTTTGATCTAAATAATTCGCAGCCTCACAAAGTGCATGCAGTGTTGTTTTCTTCACCTGTTTCAAATGGAAGTAGTGTTGGAACAGCATTCAAAAAGTAACATTCAAACGTGTGTTTAAATCATTAAAAAGAATGCTAATATTAAACATCTCTATACATATGCTGAAACCCAGATACTTTTATTATAGATGCATCAAGGTCAGACTTGATTCCAATTAAGGATTCTATTAGCACCAAAGCAGTTGGTGTTGCAATAATGTGATGACAATCGTGCACTACAGATCAGAAATTATTATTGTGGTTATATTCAACTAATATTGATATTGAAGGAAGAAGGTGATTGATAGGTGATTATAAGTCTATGGAAAGTATACACTCTACAAATGGTACACCGTTCAACTTCAAACATCAAGCAAATATGATAAGAGCTCTCTATGAGGGGTGACACCGAATCAAATAATTGACATATAAAATGGTACACAGCTCAACTTCAAACATAAAGCAAATATAATAAGAGCTCCCTATGGGGGGTGACATCAAATCAAATAATTGACATATAAACTAACTCTGGCCAAAGAAAGAAATATAAAGTAACCTATTTCCCTTTCCCTATAGTAGAGAAGATAATGAAAAAAAGGAAAAAATTTTTACAGCATCAAGATCCTCCTAATAAGTAATATCCACATACCTCCAGTTTGTCCTCTTTAGCCCTATGATTGTGTGGAAGTACACGAAATTCTTCTGTTATACGAAAGCAGTCACCAAGGTTCTCAGGTGAAACAAAATCAAGTGCAACCTTTATGCATGACTGGAGACAAGCACAAGAGTGTCAAAGATACAATAATCTACACATATTGAGTTACAGATATCAAATTCATGCATGACAACTGGAAAACTAAAACTCAATAAAAGTCTTGTAATTTTGAAAATTGGAAATTCCAATTCTACCCTAAAGCCCAACCCTCTCTGTCTAAATCTCAGCAAATGGGCAGCACAGGTCATTCATGGGGAATAGAACCTAGACCTACCAGCTTCTTCTTGCTCTTAGGGCAAGGCAGGTGCCGTTGAGCAACAGACTCATTGGCAAAAAACTTGGA